GACTTGGGCCAGTAGCAATACCTATGCCTTGAGCACCATCAACCAAGTTATAGAATTTTCTCTAGTAATGAAAACCTGAGAAGCAAATAACCTTCAAAGTGCTGTGCTTTTAGACAGAGTCTCACGTAGCAAGTAACAGCATTAGAGATGCAGTTTTGCCAGTGCTCACTGCACATGCAATACCTGGCTAAAGTCTACTTAAGACAGTAAAAAATGTCATAAGCAGCAAGTCCTTCAACTATTTGCACATGTTTGTCTTTCCTACTTGAAAATGCTTCAGATAAGACAAGTCATTGCAGCGAGTTCTGGAGAACGCTCCGTTCACAGGCACATTCCAGTTCCTGCAAGTCACAGCCAGCTGACCCTTTTATTGAAGGCTGATCCCAGCCCTCAGGATTTAACACCTTAGAGCACCCACTCATTATATCTACCTTGCGCACAGAACTTGTAGACATGCTCCAGAAAGGGTTCATAACGTGTATTCCAAATAAAGGACTGCAATTTTTCTGTGTCTTCCGTTTCGTCAGGCTTCTCTGGTTTACACCCTAAAAATACACAGAATGAGTGTGCATCCTTACAGATAAACAGGACTCAATATATAAATAGGATTCAGATCTAATTTTGCACCCAGCTTTATGTTGCTGTAAAAGAAGAGAGCTTCTTGGAGTTAAGACCAACAGTAGCTAAAATCGCCAGAGCTCTATTATTTATTAGATTCCAGGACAGTACTATAGCTGCCTACACAATATTTTTGCACTTGAACGCCTCCCTTCTTTCTGCTAAAACAACATTCTGAGAAAGACTGCAGCATATTCTTTGTCTTGCCAACTGCCAAAGACCATCTATTGGCTCAGCACAGTCAATACAGATCCTCTACACACACAAATGCTGAAAGTTATCACTTCAGCGTTCACACCCAGCATCGGACAGCTCTACAACAGCTCACTCTCGCAGCATGGCCAAGGGCTGTCCCTCGCACACACTGCACACTCTGCAGATTTCGGAGGCACTCCAGCCTGAAAAATTACTGCCATTCCCAGGGCACGAGATGATCCTCCCATGGAGCCTGCATTACGTATGTGTCATTCTGCTTTCATCTGCATTGGTGCCCTGCCAGGAACAGACAAAGCCACAGAACACAGAAGATTTTCTGTAGCTATTTAATGGGCTCATTATGAGCGCTAAGCTTAATGCTCATTAGATCAGCAGTTCAATTACAAGGACTTCAGCAGTATTTGGAGTTTCGGTGTTTCGTCTGTTCAAGCCATTCGCACAGCTCCCCTTTGGGTATAAACTCCAGAAGTCTTTTTTTTCCCCCCCTCTTAAAAAAACGTCTTGTTATTGTTTGTGCAAGAGCTCTCTCGCCTACACCACCTCATCTGGCACTGCCTGTTTCCTCTACTCCTCTTTTTTTTTTTTTTTTTTTTTTTTACTCCTTTTACTCCTATCCTCCTGGTTTCCAATATTCCACCTCCCACCCCACCCTTTCTCACTACAGTAAGTTTTGAGACAGTACATTTTGCTTGATTTCTTTAATATGGAATCATAAAAACACTGACCAAGACAATTCAGAGGATGAGAGGGACAAAGACAGGACAGCACTAAGTTATACTGAGGTCAACACCAAGTGTTTTCTACAGCACACAAGTCACCACCACCTGTTCACACGTTGCTTTGAATAGTTTATAGAGAAAATGATAACGTTAAGATCCAGACTCTTCCTAAGACAATCAAAGCTAACCTTGTTAAAAGAAAAAAAAAGAATTAAGCCAGGCTACTTGTCAGAAAAAAAAAATCCTAGCTGTGCAAATGTTTAAAAGAAACTCCGATATCAAATGCAGTTATCTAACTACAGCCATCTAGATACTGAGCAGCCCAGCAGTAAAAAATTGCAAGCACCATTCAGGAAAGCGATAAAAATTAATTCAGTCTCCCAGCCCCAAAGCATCTGAGGCAAACATTCCAGGACACAATTCCTCCAGATATTTTTCCTCTTCAGCAGCCAGAGAGCCGCATCGCTCCGAGCCAGCAAAAACAGAGGTGCAGAGCAGGGGCGTGCTCTGGGACAGCGGTGGGACAGCAGATGTTGTTTTCACCTTTCCCCATCCCCTGTCTGGAAGGCAGAGCCCTGCCAGAGGGCCATGCCACAGGCCCTTCCTCTTACCCAAAACCCAGCCAGACTACAAGAGCGAGATGCTCGGCTACCAAAAGACAAGACGTTTCCTTGGGGACCTTCAGCGTGACCCGAGGGCGGAGGAACTGACGCACAGAGGGCCCGGCTCTGACACGAGCAAACTGCTGGGAGCTGAGGTGCAGGTCGGAAAACAATTAGCTGGAACCTGGAGTGATTACATTATGGGTTTGGGGGAATTTTTTTTTTCTTTGAGGACTAACACAAACTGCCCTATTCCAGAACAAGAGCTGAGACACAGGAGCCAAAAAGGACACGGAACAAGGTATGTACATAAAGACCAGCCCAACCTACTACCAGCAAGACAGGAACTGATCTGGAAGCGTGATAACTGCTGGATGCAGTTCCGTCACTGACTCCACCTTGCAGAAAGCAGCCATACGTGCTCAGTACGCTCTCAGCTCTGCTGAAACGCTTTGCATTACAGAGATGCCTATTTACAAGCTATTAAGAACCAGTTTCATCTCCAAATAAAGCGTTACTTTAGCCCTAGTTAGAATACAGAATAACTTCCAAAGAGGATCCCGCACAGAGCTCCTTCAGCCAGCTGCAGCCCACTAATAAGCGATACACAGCATTTCCCTTAACACGTTGCACTGCCCTCAGCCTCGCCTGTTAGGATCCTATGGATGATGGCGAACTGGTGGCCTTGGAGTGCCAGTCTGCCCATGCAGTCACTGAAAAAGCCATTCAAGGTGTTTCAAAGTTGGTTTCTTTTGAATCATGCTCACTCTTTCTAGCTACGCTATACAGGAGCTGAGCACGGTACCAGCACAAGAAACATGGCCTGTAACTACTTATGCTCTCTAGGTCCTGCACCTAAAAATGTACTACCCTAGATTAATCACAAGTCATTGCAAATAAAAATTAAAATAATGTACTATTGGTGTGTTTCAGTTGGCCTGGTGATCCTACTTCCCAGCACGAAGGCTTACAGCTGCCACTGGGAGTGAAATCCCAGCATCATCCAGGGGTGGTTCCAGGCAGTGCAGTCACTCAGTGTCACCCTGCCTACTGAGCCTTCCATGGGGGTACCTGCTGCTACGGCACTCTGTGGGGCTGCACCTACCGACAGCAGCAGGCTCCCAGCAGAGCCCAATGCACTGGCTTTGCTCATTTTACACGGAAGGAATGAACACCTTCAGAACGATCACCCAGGCTCCTCTCATCACCCACAGAGGCTGAGCAGTGCACTGCCCAGCATTGCCTTCACAGATTTCTGCTGCTTCAGGAGCCGAGCGCCACAGCTGCACTGCTGAGCTGCCCTCCTCACACGGGCCTTGTGTCAGCCTGCACCTTTTCCTCTAGTGCTTTCCTTCTGCTACAACAATTAAAAACACGAATAATGTGAAGAGCTGCCACTCCAAATGCTGCTTCTTGGTACGGCTTCCTGGCTTTTACAGCGCACTCGCACAGTGGAAGCCCTCCTGTGGCTGCCCAGGCCACCTGCCGCCCGCAGCACACCCCGCAGCGGCACCCCCAGCACCACACGGGGTGGCCGCGCTGAGGGCCGGCTGCAGCTGGGCTTTGTGCACGTCCCCTTGGCTGCCCCGGGCAGCTGCGAGGGACCCCGGTGCCTGTGGGGCCGCGCTCCCTGCCCGGCACCGGCGGGGCCGTTGGGGCTCGGAGCCGTTGGGGATCAAACCCCCCCCCCCCCCCCAACCGCCACCCCACTGCCAGCGGCTCCCTGTGAGGAGCGCCCGGCCCCAGCGGCGGGGCCCGCCCCGAGCCCCCCACCCCCCCTGCCCACAGCGCCGAGGCCGCGGGGAGCCCCACCCCGCTCGCCGCCCTCCCCTCCCGTAGCAAAAATGGGGTGAGAAAGGGGGAAATTGGTTAAAAGCCGCGCGCCCCGCCGGGCCCTCACCGCGCTCCGGCCGCGCCGCTCCCCGCCGCCCGCCGCCCAGGCCCCGCCTGCCGCCGCCCCCCTTTAAGCCCGCCCCTCGGCCTCGCGCAGCCGGGCCCGGCCTCGCGCTCGGCCAATCGCAGCCCCCCCCGTGCCGCGGCGTCACCGAGGGGCGGGGAGAAGAGGGAGGAAGCGGCCAATGGGAGCCGCCGGGCGCTGCGTGAGGTAATGAGGGCGGCTTCGCTCCCCTCAGCGGGTGGGGACGGAGGGTGCTGCGGGGAACGCCCTTCGGAAGGAGATTGGTCCGGGAGGGTGTCCGTCTAGGGCGAGCGGGCCAATGGGAGGGGGGTGACGCACCTGTCAGGCCGCAGGAAGAGAGCGGCGGGGCGGGGGCTGGGAAACGCGAGCCTCTCCCATTGGGCGGCGGGGCGGAGCGGGGAGAGATGCGATTGGCGGGCTGGGGCGGCGGGGGCGGCCCTGTCTGAGGGGCTGTGCAGGCCCCAAAATGGCGGCCGGGGGCGGGCGGGGCAGCGGGGCCTGACCCCTCACGGGCACCTGACGGGGCGGTGTAAGAAAGTGATCCCCTGCTGCGCTTCTGAAACACTCACCCAAACACATTTTCTGGAGCTTGACGCCTCCAGCAAACTATGTGAATACATAACAGAGGCACGGCTATGGCACTAACACCAGAACAGCGCTAAATAACAGTGCGCGGGGCATCAAATACCTCAAATAAACTTAAGACTGAATTGGTCCTGCGAGATGAGCTAAAATAAACGAGCCTCAAAATTTACACTGGGGACAGGATTCCCTTCTTAGTCACACCAGATCTGTATGAATTCTACTTAAGAAAATCTTAACTGATTTTCATACTACATGTATGTTGGTATTTTAACTGACTAGCCTAAAGTGCTATTCGTATCTTTCTTACCTTAGAAAAAAAAAGTTTCTTTTTCTAGGGATTAGTGCCTGTTGAAAATAAGTTTAATAAAAGTCCTATTCCTTTTTACTTTATATCCAAAGTTAGGAAAAAATCATCTCAGAAAACAGTTTTTTTTTTTTTTTTTCCATTTCCATATCTCATTATCTGTTGAAGAAAACATATAAACATTTGTTAGGTCCAAAGTGCACAATCTTGAGGGTTTGTTGGATCAGCTTGAAATAGCATTACAGGTTCATTACTGTGTAAGCACGCCAAGAATGTCTTGGAAAATGACAAATATAAGAGATGGACTCATTTGAAATTCATCAGCTTCAATTTTAAATCTTTCAGGAGACTGAAGAGAGAAGCTGTAAAATACAGAGAACCAAATTATTATACATTCATATTTAAATCCATTTTTTTCTAGGCATACTTGCATACCTGTTTCACCCAGAAGGCTAAATGCAGGAAGGAATTTAATTTAAAACAATGTCTTCAGGCTAGCATAGGAAAAAGGTGTTTTTTCCACATACATAGAATCATACCCCAAAAGCACACATCCTCATAACCCCAAACCTAAAATTGCCAAGCACCTACCTGTAGCTCTGCTGCTGAAGGGGGGCCACGATGGCTGCATCCTGTCAGGCATATTCACCATTATGTTTAATTGTCCAGCGTGCAAAGACCCTGATAGTTCTGACCGGGCCAGAATTTCCCCTTGTGGTGGCTGCAGTTTTTAGAAATAAACTGAATGGAAGAGACACGAAGGAAGTTCCATGTATTTAATTAGCTGGAGGGAGTGCGTAGCACCACTAGGTGGTGTTCTGCAGCTGCTGTAGTCGCGTAAGGTGATCCATAGACAGCTGAAGGATGAAAATACTTCAGACTGGAAGCATGAATATGCTGTATGACAAGAAGTGATCAGGGCTTTTGCTGCCAGCTGCAGATAAATATGCATGCTCCTCTCCCACTGCCATTCCCAGGAGTTCTATGGGGACACTGACAAAAGAATTTTGAAAAAATACCATATATAGTTACACGAAACATCACCTTACTTGATAACTATCAGTATTAACATCACTTATTTCCCCCTCCAAAACAAAAGGTGAAATAACGTATTTTCTTTTTTTCAAAGCTAACAAGCAGAATTATAGTCACTGTTAAAAACTCAAAGCATTGAACGTCTTTTCAAATGTAATTAATTCCTTTGTGATTTAGATACTACAAGAAACACTATCATCACTTTATGGAACAATATAATTACAAATGAAAACAGTCAAGGAGTTAGGAGAAACTATCAGGCTCCTAAAATATGATGGTAAACATACAAGAATACTTTAAAACAGGTATTTTCATTTTAAAGGCATTTACAAAGAAGTCAGTGGGTAAGAGCTTATTTCACAATGCACGGTGGTGGTTTTCTATGGGGAGGAACACATCATGCCACAGTTCTCTCATCATTCTGAAGGGCAATAGCACAAACAAGATCTAGGTAAACTGGAACCGATATGTGCAGGTAAGGCTAGAGCTATTGAACGGCTCAGCCCTTCGTGCTAGGTAATGACAGGTACCTCACAGAACCACGGAATGGTCTGGATTGGAAGGGATCTGTAAGGATCTCCTAGTTTCAACTCCCTTGCCATGGGCCAGGACACCTTCCACTAGACCAGCTTGCAGAAAGTTATTTGGTTTGTGAATGCCTTCCCAAAACTTATTACCCAGAATGGTAGTTCCCATACAGGGCTTCATAGCTTGACAGAAAATGCTGTCCAGACCCATAATTCTCGTAACATGCCCTGGGTTTGGGGTCTCTTGAGCTGCTTTGGCATACTGCTCCATGCAGATTTCAAAGCATTTCTCTCAGTTCCACTTAGATTTATTTTAGTGCAACACAAGCCTGGTAACATAGTACAACAAAGGAAACATCAAATTAGTAAAGACTAATTAGAAGTAAAGGCTCTTAGGGACAAGATTGGAAACAAGTCAAATACAACCTGCTCCTAGCTTACACTTCATGTGGTATTTCTCTGGTCAATTCAGCTCTTCTGCCTCTAAGGTGGGTCAGTGCTGGGATCCAGTGTTCAGAAGCATCAGAAACCCCACAGCATCATCTAATGATACAGTGCCCATTCATGCCTTGCCTCTTCACTAACCTTATTCCTGGCACATGTCATCAAAACCATCCTTCTTATTTTCATATCTTTTCATAAGGTTGAGATAAAGACTGTCTAACAGGACAGAAAAGGAAGGGGAAATAACAAGGATTATTCTCATCCTAAATCCAAAAGGCAGCACCATACCAGCCACTAGGAAGAAAATCAACTCCATCCCAGCTGAAACCAGAACAACAGTATATTTATTTTCCTTGGGGAAGAGATAAGAAGAAACAACCCAGACTGCAACATCAAAATCTGTTATGTAGTTCTTGGGGTCTCTGCTCTGTCAGCAACACCGTAAAACTTCAACTACAAACTCACTTCTTTAACAGAGGATCAGAAATATTAAATATATTTATTCCCTATAGGAAGCCTTTCATCTTGCTAGATTCACTTCATATAAAAGTACATATGTATATAATATCCCAGCACTTTTAGATTTGCATGGCTGCTGATATATTCAGCTACGTGAGAGCTTGGCTGTTCCTGAACAGCAGAAGCTAACAATGACCAACTGAGGATCACACCGCAGCCTTCAAACTATGCCTTCTTCAGTATGTCTCATCATGGACATTCATACCTAAATTTGTCTACTGATAAATTGAAATTCCTCATTTTAGATTTTTCCAACCATTTTTGATGGTTTTGAATAAGGTGTTAATTAGACTTACAGCTGTAATTACTATTTCCTTACCGATAAGGGTTTCGTTTGTTTTAAATACCTTCCTTTCATGGATTATTTTGATTCATAATCATGTAAAACATACTTCCAAGCAAATATGCATGTAAACTCACTCTCAGGAATAACTAAGGATTACAGAGTAATCAGATTAAAGAATCTTTTTGAAAAATCAGTTTTGCAGAGAATAGTCATTAGAGCGCATCTGTATGAGACAACCGTGGCAAATCAGTGAACACAGCCCACGTAAACAACCTTTGATCAGCAGTTTCCACAATATCATTATGAACTCCAGTTTCTGCTTTAACGATACGATATGATGAGTGAAAAGCAGACCAAAACCAATTCATAACTGTGATTTTCCAGCTGAAAATTAATTTGTTGACTGAAAAATACCTACATAATTTCAGAGATGATAAGACATAATAAAGTAGGACCATTTTTTTCTCCACTCACACCTGGAGCCAGATTTTTACACAAAAGTCACTTCTCTCCTTTCATCTTCTTATTACTTTCCTAGTAAAGTGACATATTAAGCAGGTATGTAAGTGGTTGGTTATTTAAAAAAGCTGCATATTAAAGAATTTAGTGTATAGCTGATCAAAGAAGTGAATATAAAGAGTAAAGGCTGTGAGGTGAATATGCAAAGGAAGCTATCACATTCAATGAGAAACAGCTATGAACAGTTACCCAAGATTGTGTCTGTGTAGCCCAACTAATCCAAGTCTAAATCGAGATGGTTTGTGGCTCTTTTGTCCAGAGCACATCATTAAAAATCGGCAAGCTCTAATATTTAGCCAAATAATTGGAACAGGCTCCCCAGGGCAGTGGTCATGGTGCCGAGCTTTCTGGAGTTCAAGAAGCGTATGGAAAACGCACTCAGATGTAGGGTCTGATTTTTGGGTGGTCCTGTGTGGAGCCAGGAGTTGGATTCCATGAAACTTGTGGGTCCCTTCCAGCTCAGGATATTCTATGATAACGCTGAACGTCCACTACATGAAGAAAGAGCATCTATCACAACAGACCAATTCAACCTCACAGCTCAAATCTGAGAATTTGAAAGTTTACACCCATCTTTCCCTTCAGCTAGAAAAACATTTCAGCCATACAAAACAGTACTGGGCTCCTTGCTTCAAAAGGAGTAAGAAAAGGCAGGATATGAACATGACACCTAGAAAACCTTCATGCAGAAAGAGACATGCTTAATTAAATACAATGCCATTTAGCAGCACTGTCATCGGTAGGGCTCACCTCACCTTTTCATGAGCCAGTCTTGGTCACTAACAGCCCTGTCATGCAGACTGCTACAGGAGGTTGGGCACCTCAGTATTCAAAAGATTCAAAAGACTCAGTAAATAAAAGATTTGTAAGAAAGATTGCTTCTCTCCTCTCCAGATAAAAGCGACATCCGGCACTATCTGCTCAGAGCTCGTAGCTCAGGGCACAGACGCTATGCTTGTATATGGAAACGACTGAATGAAAACTCAGAAACGCCCCTCTCACTCCTCATTTGTTTGTTGCTGTTTGTCTTTAACTATCTGTATTCATATTTATGGCTTAAAGTAAGCAGAAATACCACAGACAGTATATACAGACAACATTTACTGCATTTAGCACTTTCTAAAGCTAGACTAGGAATTGGTCTGAACATTTACATGAAAGGAAATCAAAGACTAACAGCCTCACAACCAAGGTACAGAAACTTCAGTCTGCTTGCCCAGTTCTGACTCGTCACAACTAACTGTGACTAGTCACAAATTTATGTTTAAAGGACATTACAGACCAATTAAAAGTATTGAAAAACTTCCTATTAAGTTCAATACAACTTCAGTTTAGATGCTTCATCTCTGAATAAGAACTTAAGTTGCCCAGGAAATCCTCAACGGAACATCTCCATCCGCATCTGTTTCATTGGCTTTATTTTTTTATCTGAACTTTTGTATTTTTTTCTATGCCATCTGCAACCCTTTTTTTGTAGATTAGTTGAAGTTTCTACCTCCCATTCGGTTATTTCTATTTCCCAAAGGTACAGTGATTCTCAATTAATTCAGTCCTATCTTCTATCTCTTTGACAGTTACCAGAAGCACAAAATGTTGGGAAATCTAATTTTTCTTCTCTTTTAAGTGAACAAGTTGTGCCTCTGCAGTTTTGAAACATAGTTTGGCTGTTTGTGATTTCTCTTTATTATAAATTTCATTCTAAAAAAATGTAAGTGTGAATTGAGATTAGATTTAAACTGAGCATGCATGTCCAAACATCATGAGAATTCCTCTATCAAATAAAACTTTCATCTTAATTATCCTTAATAATTTCCACTTTGCTAATATAAGGTCCCTTAATACCTTTGGAAAATGAAGATTATGAAAAAGAGACTATATGAAGATAATTATGTCTCATTTTGCAGAATTTTAAACACCTTCTTCCAGATAGTAAATCTAATGTTAATTAATAGTGGGGTATAATATTAGATCTGTCTCTCTTATGAAAATCCCTGATAGAATGTTCCCTGATGAAGCGGTGTCTGTGTTATTTTATATATTAGTTCCAATTTATAGCAAAGCATACTGCTGAAAAATGTTAAGTAGCCAAGCGTTCAACAGCCAAGCAAAGAGCTACCATCACAATTGAATTAATTTTCATTATTTCATTTCAAACTGTGTAATTACAAATAAACTTTCTCTTTCAAGGCCTTTAAAAGTCCTGCCCACTAAAGTTTTGAACACAGACAGGTGCTCTGGGTATTTGGGCTAGAAGGAATCTCCCCATTTGCTATAAATTTAGGAGCACATCTGTCTGTATGTGTTTGCATGTAGGTGTTTGAACAAGTCTTTGTCTACAAAAGCAGCCAACCAACCTACCAACCAAAACAGAGCAATACCCTAGCTAGGTCATCATGGCAGCTGCACACAAATCTGAGCACTGTATTTTGAGATAAACTGATATTATTTTCATTTTCTATATGTTTGCATGTTCTATATGTATGTTTGAAAAGCCTATCAACTTCTAAAAACGATTTGTCTGGAACTAAGATACCTCTACAAAAAAAAAATAAATATAGGCAACAGTTGCTTTTAAAGGCTGTTGCTACTTCCCATCATAAATTGTATAATCATGCTCTTAAAAAGGAACGTGAAATTAGAACTGACTATAGTACTGCCTTAGTATTTTAGTCTGATCTATTTGCAAGGGTTTTTTTTTTTTTGCTTTAAAACAGTTATATCTCAATCTTTAAACCAAAATGTAAAACGTTTGGCAATGATTTTATTTATGAGTATCAGTAAACTGGTATTAAACATATATTAGCATTAAAAATACTTTTTTTTTTTTGTTCCTGTTTTTATCTTTAACACAACTTCAAAGGGCTTTGTGAGTCAGAAAAAAAAAAAGGATGTTGAACTGGCATCTGGTTTAAAATCTGTGCTGAATATTTTGTTAGAAATTATTAGGCAATATGAGATTTTAATGCTAGTCTATTTATTAATGACTTTTTCTATTTGTATATATATACAAAACAGAAATATATAGTATATGTCGTATCTGTATGTAATTCTGCCTGTAAAATATGCCAGAATTACAGTTTGTCAAGCTGTGTCTTTTCTGGTGCTCATGACTGGGCACAAGTTTCTGTCACTACAGAATGATTTTTTTCTTAGAAGCATATAATGCACAAACACTTTTACAAGATTTGTTTTGTCCCCCCTAGCTTATCAACCAGGAAACTATATAGGAACACAATAATAATATCTAGACAATATAAAAAAGGAGAAAGTGAGCCAACACTAAAACAATAGTAACACAACAGCTGCACTTCTGTGTGAGCAAACCATTGCTCACACAATAGTTAATAATTCTTCCAAGTGCTCATTGCATCTCCTAGAGCCAAATCAGCCACCATGACAAAATAAGCACATTTAGAATTGAAATCATCTTAATATCAGAGATTAGAAAGGATCAAAACCACCATAAAGATAGGAAAATGAAACCCTCCATCCTTCCTCTCTTAGTGGTACTTGTGATTAATCTGAAGTAAAAATACTTTTTTTTCCAAGCATACTTAGGGGGTTGGCATTCAAATTTTCTGTGATCATCCTCTCTGGAAATCTGGTTTAAAACTTAGTGTTTACTAGATGAAAATATTTCAGTCTGCTCCTGTTGACTAAAATAGCATAGAATCAGTCAGGCCTAAAATTACCTAAATAGATCCATATTTTGTGAACAACAAACAAACAACAAGCAAGCCAAACAAAACTCTTTCCCACTGGTAATGCAGATTAAGATTACAGTCATACAGCACTTCTGCATCCTTGGATTACAGAATCACAGAAAGGATCAGGTGGGAAGGGAGCTCTTGAGATTGTCTACTCCACCACCCTGCTGAGAAAAGGATCAGCTGAAGCAGATTGCTCAGGACCGCATCCAGCTGGGTTTTGATTATCTCCAAGGATGGAGTCTCCACAGCCTTTCGGGCAACCTGCTCCAGTGCCTGATCACCCTTGTGTAGTAAACAGCTTTTTGGCTTAGAACAAAAAGCTGAAAGCAAAGGTAAGTTATGAAAAAGGACAGGAGGAGAAACAGCATTCTACAGAAAAATTGCCATGTAAACTGTAGCAGCCATGCAGAGAAGTGAAAAGATGTTTAGAAGTCTCAGATTTGAGAGAGAGAGGATTAATTTCCTTTTCCAACTCGCTATCTCCATCTAAAACTACCTGAAGGAAATTGATATGCCCTTACCAATCTCCTTTGATGAACATTTTGTTATTCAGGAAGGACAATGCGAGTTAGAACAAATCTATACAGCGTCACAGGGCAAGGAAGTGATGTACTTCATTTGCAAGAGAGAAGCAGCAATATGTTACCTGATATAGTGATTTAACAAAGTTTGATTGTAAATAAGACAGTGACTTCAGATTTGGTGGCAAGGTACGTGCAGTTATTTACAAGATAGAGGGTTAAATATTTACAGGATAGAGGGTTAAATTCAGTCATTCAGGAGATCCTCCCACTGAGCCACGAGTTTGGGAATGTAACCCCTTGCATTCTAAACTCCTTGAACACCCTATGTCCCACTCTACTCTGCGCTGGTGCGGCCTCACCTCGAGTACTGTGTGCAGTTCTGGGCACCACAGTATAAAAAGGACATGAAACTGTTGGAGAGTGTCCAGAGGAGGGCTACGAAGATGGTGAAAGGCCTGGAGGGGAAGACGTACGAGGAACGGCTGAGGGCACTGGGCCTGTTCAGCCTGGAGAAGAGGAGGCTGAGGGGAGACCTCATCGCAGTCTACAACTTCCTCGTAAGGGGGTGTCGAGAGGCAGGAGACCTTTTCTCCATTAACACCAGCGACAGGACCCGCGGGAACGGGGTTAAGCTGAGGCAGGGGAAATTTAGGCTTGACATCAGGAAGGGAGTTCTTCACAGAGAGGGTGGTTGCACACTGGAACAGGCTCCCCAGGGAAGTGGTCACTGCACCGAGCCTGTCTGAATTTAAGAAGAGATTGGACTGTGCACTTAGTCACATGGTCTGAACTTTTGGGTAGACCTGTGCGGTGTCAAGAGTTGGACTTGATGATCCTTAAGGGTCCCTTCCAACTCAGGATATTCTATGATTCTATGATTCTATGATTCTATGACCTCAGTTGTGTGTTAGCCATCTCTCCTGAAAGCACACTGAGCCCGTTGCAGCCACCAGGACCACACACATCTATCACAATTGCCACTGGTGGTTATCACTTGACCAGGGTTTTGGGTGAAAGGCCAGGTTGTGGGGTGAGGGGAGCACACCATCACACACTGCTCTGGGTAACGTAGAATAGGAGTATCCAAGATTATTCCTGAAGCAGTAACAGCCTGGCCAAATAACACTGTGGCATCTCGCTGGAGCGTGCTTCTGACACCTGTGCTCATGTCTGGGTATCTCTTCCACCCTGCCACGCATAGATCAGTTGATGTCTTTTGCACAGGGTCAGATTTAGAATGCTTTATGCCATAACAACAGACTCCAGGGGAGCGCTGCTAACAGACCTAATGCAGTTTTCCCTAGGAAATTAAAGTTACAAGCCACAGCGTACTTAGATAATATAATTTTTGATTCATTCCACGGTAGTAAATAATGACTGAGACACCTAGTCAAAGGGTGATCCCAGCTGCTTCCTAGGTATGGTCATTCAAACAAAACACAAGCTAAATACCAAATGCTATACCAAAGAAAAAATGGAAACACAGTCCTACCTTGTATCTCCAAACACAAAATTAAAAAAAAAAGCTCAGAATCAGCTGCCCATTACAACTGCTATGCCTCCATGCCCCCCAAAGTAAGTATTAATGCTATACCAAACACCGCCCAGGTATCTGATGTCATTACTTGTATTAAAAAAAAAAAGACAGGCAAAGAGCCATGTATGCATAAAAAGCTGGTGAAATTCCTCATCAATTTTGAAGAAAAAAAAAAAAAAAAAAAAAAAAAAAAACAAACAAACAAAAAAAAACTTGGAGAGAACTCAGTTACCAGGGAAAATAAAATAGAGAGAAAATGCTGGCAGATAAACATCTTTTTAGTCTAGTGCCGAAAGCCGTAACAAGAACCAATTTCAAAGAGATATTAAGTAAATATTTTAATAGTGAGAGTGATTAACCACTTAATCTAACTACCAGAAGGAGTTGGTTTTACATCCCTTCTTAGATGTAGATTTATTAGAGTATCTTAGAGGAGATTTATTTTGTTTAGCTACTGGGTTCACTTTAACATCAACTGGATGAAGTGGAACAGCCTACCACAAAGTCTGGAGGTGACTTAATGGTCCTTTTGTGGACTTCTCCGAATTCATGGGCTCCTCTGTTTTAATGTGGGCTTTCTGAGTTTGAGCAGCGAAAGAAACACAGCGAAAGAAAGAAATTCCCATGTTAGTATTGCTACAAATCACCATCTCTTTGTGTATCTGAGAACTGTTAGATCAAATTTATACAAAGAGAAAAGATGTCCTCAGGTTCAAGTGCCTTAAAATATCAGCACTTCCTCTGACACACCGACAGGGCTCCACGCAGGACTGAATTAAAAGAGGCAAGCTGAACACTGATGTGTTCTCTTATAGGCAGTTTTAGCTTGGTTTTTCACTTTCTTTAAAACAAACCATCAGGTACTTGGTGTTTGAAATACATTCCAAGCTACAAGTACTTCAGGCTCCTCATGATTAGACCACTGAGATGGAATCACCCCCAAAATGTGGGCTCATTACTATCATCGCATGGCAGGTACTGCTATATTAACTGTGCAGTGAAGGAGCTAAGGCTTACGTTACACACACAGATCCCTCATTTTTACTCCCACCATCCATCACAGCAGAATCTATAGGAAAATGGAGTACAAATCATTCAGGAATTTACAACAGTAAGTTGAGCTAGTTCTGTGCTATGTCATTTCTAGAAGCGGATGCCTTTGTTTTGCACCCTAAGGGCTGCTCATATGCATAAATAGCCGCCTTTTTTCTGCTTCTGAATCACAGTGTCCAGCCAATACAAAAAAGATTATGAAGTATGAAAACTGCACAGATTTCCACCACAGAACAATAACAAGATCTATACTTTGATTTCCTGGGAAATAAAAATTGTAGCTATACTTCCTGTCAGCCCATTCCTTTGAACATGTTCTCTTCATAATTTGGGTTTTGAATCTAGTTTAAATGGCAGTTAAAAATTGTATGTGGCAGTACACAATGAAATTTAGCTTGACAGCTTGGACATCAAAACTAAAAATAAATGACTTCACATCCAAATAATAAGTAATAACAATGTTAGCCTGCATAAGAATAGCAGGACTGGATTCAAATACAATATTAATTTTAGGGATATGAGTGACTAGGGAGAGACAGAGGCAAAGAAACAAATCCTTCATATAGCAATAGTCTCTTCTTATCCCCCAGGCAACTGGCTGCCTTTCACCTCAGCGGCAGAGCAATTATGTGGCATAATGACTGCAGTGCAAATAAGCAGAGAGATTTTATTAAACCAAATGAGCAAATCATCTGCGTATTATTGCGATTTGATTGACAGTGACAAGTGTCGAGCAGACACGGATGTGAATATGATAAAGAAGCTTGCAGGAAAGCTCTTGATAATGTTACTCTTGATAAAGTTGCTCGGCAAACCTCTCTAAGTAAATAAAGGAGAAAGAATATGATGCATATTAATTCACATAGTTTGCAACCTGCCACAGGACTAGAGGAAAAGTTGCAATAGGTTCAGCACATGGCATTTCATATGAATTCTAAAATTGCATTTATGAGTCTCATAGACTTTACAATAATATATTAATATTAAAAGTAAAGGTCATTCCACATAACAGTTAAGCTGCCTGAGCTTCAACCTTTATATCAATAACAGGCTTGGGCTGGGGGCAAGAGGAGGGAGAAAACAAGCGGGAATGATCTGAATAATGTAAAATGTTACCTTGAAAGATTGCTGCCTTTTACTGGGATGTCCATTTACACACTTGTACTTTCAGTGGACAATTACATTTCTGACAGGCCTGCTGTCAGAATGATTAAATCGATACCTTTCATGCAGAGGTATTTGGGCATGTGATGAATTGACACGGACCTTCAGGCCTCTACAGAAGCTGCTCTTACATTAATGGCTCCCTGATGACATCATAGGTGCCCGGATTCCAAAGTTTCACATCGTTGCAGTCGGCACAGAACTCAGGATAATTACTTTTGGCACATGGAGTGGATTAACCAAGGTGGCTGGGAAGCTTTGACAGCACACCCATGGAAAAAAAGCAGCAGGAATAAAATCACCTGTGCTCCAATGGTATTAAGATCATGAATAAATGTGGGCTTACAAGTTTAAATTGTTTGACCGGGTAAGACGTGATAAATAGTTCTCTTTCCTTCACTCCATTTTTTTTTTTTTTTAATTATTATTATTTTAAATTTGAATGTGAACAAGCAACAGCTTTATACCCTACTTTGGTTAACACTCTTCTGCCATCAAGTACCAAGTTGAAGATTTTCAGTCTTTGAAAAAGAACTGTATCTGAAAGGAAATATTCTTGTCACATGAAGTACGCTGCATAATGTAGAAAGCATTTCTGATTAATGTTGTAATACTGACTTGAATACCTATTTGGACATTTTTCAAACAGAGCAATTTTGGAAGGTTCCGTATTATTCTGAGCTGATTCCTACAAATTTTGTGCCTTACTGTAACTATGCAAGTAAACTTCAACAGAGGCATCAAGAGCTGACATGCTCAGAATAACTGAGGCTTGGTAAAAAACACTTAATCCCTCTATTACTGACTTACATGAAAGATATCACAGATACATTTTCCATGATGCGAGCCTTCTGATGAACAGTCCACCGGGTATGAACTAAAAATAA